ACATACAAGTGCTAAATGCAAAGTAGAAGGAAGGTAGTACATAGCTACCTGTTGCCGTCTGGGGCCTCAGACACCACTGACGGTTTCTAGCTGTACAGGAGTCCACGTATCCCTGGTGAGTACGAAGTCATCACCTTATTCGTTGTCTCATCCTAGCTACTTCGGTCTCCAAAAGCGCTAGTGCTGCATCCGAACGTTAGACGCCGACTCGCTCGGAGTTTAGCCCCCGGTTACCGACAAACTGGTTCGGGCCCACTTGTCGAGCCGTTTATCTGGGTGTAGATGTTGTTTCATGCAAACAGCTTCTTGGAGACAGGAGACTAAATAACGGAGGATACCACCAAGGGGTCGACAGATCACGGAGTCACAGGTATCACTCCTACCAGGTGATGCAAGTAGTGGATCTTTACAAATTCTGAGTGTCTCAGGCATACTGTCTGCTTTTATTATGTTCCAACGCGAATTTCGGTGGGTTTAATCAAGGAAGGTGTGAAAATCAATGAAGCAAACTGTCGTTATCTGCTAGAACTAGTAGCAGAATTCCAACATAACCTTTGCCACAACGGAAGCCGTCTTGATCCTGGAGGCTGCGCACACTTGCTGCTTCCATGTGGTCACGCAATGTTACTGAGCAGCTTGGTCACTATTTCCATCAGGCTGGTACCTCGGTAGTCTCCGCATACAATCTCACCTTTTGGGGAAACGGTTGAAGAACAGAGGTGACCCAATCATTAGGAAAGAGTTCCGTTTTCCAGATCCAGTGACATAATGAACGCAGTGGGTTAAACAAAACTGGAATGCTGAATTCGACCATCTCCGGTGGGATGCTTTCTTCCTCTGGGGCTTTCCTACTTTTCAGTTTTCCAATCGCCAATGTGATTTTCTCTTGATTTGGTAGTTTGCAATTGACTATGCTTGGTTCGCAGTTTTTGCTGCCACTGGGTGATCGGGTCGCCTATTCGTACAACTTCCATTACAGCTCAAAGTGCTCAAGCATCTCAGCAATTTCTCTCGCCACCTAATATCCGTGGTGGTGGTGGTGGTGGTGGGGGGAATCAGCATTGATAGTGCTGGAGAATTTTTTCATATTTTCCTACACCTGCGGCAGTTTCCATTCCTGACTAATACCTCATTCGGTCTGCCCTGGCGGAGCGAGTAGGTTCGCGTCGAAGTTTACCGGTTTCAGGGGTTTTACGAAGTCGTGCCCCTTCTGCCTCATTAAATGACTAAAACGTTTCATTCAGTTTTCATTCTTTCATATCGTCTTCCCTAGATGTTCCAGAGCAAATTTCTATCCTAATCATTCTCCACTACGTGTCCGCGGTATTGTTGACTTTTCATGTTTGTGATAAACTTGCTGACCGTTGCGTTCGACCTGATTCGTGCTCCTTACCTGTTGTTTGGACCAGTGGTATGGATTTTGGTCACAAGACGAGATTTGTGTGAAGTTTTCAAGTGGATCTTGAAGCGGGGGTATATATGGTTATGGTCAAAGCCGTCCCCATATCCTGTGCCGCAGTAGTCACGGCACTTGTCGGTCGTAGATTCCAACTGAGACCGAACTAGAATGTAATCGGTTTGATGTGCTGTTCTTCTCTTCTCCGAGTATCATGTCAGAAAATGTTTCCTCTTCTTTTTGAAAGTGAGTGTTGTAAGTGAACAACCGGTTAGAGTCAGAAAACGTGACACAACCTTCGTCATCCTCCTGTCTACACCCAAGGCCAAACCTCCATGTGGTGTGCCGGGTGTTATCATCCAACTGCCCGCTGGGGTTGTTCCAGTCTCCTGTGACGAGAAGAATGCTGACTTCTGGGATGCGGTTGACGACAGTTTTGAGCTGGTTGTAGAATTCGTCCTTGGTAGAGGAGTCAGCCCCCAATGTCGACCCAGGTCTAATGGATTTTCACTGAAGCATGCCACTGAAATTCTGGGGAAATGGGTTTCCGGACAATCATTGTGCTATTAGCATAGTTATTGACAGCAAGAGCTCCTCCCAATACCTTTCTTTTTCCCATTGGTAAAGCAAGGGGCCTTGGCCTTATTTAACGACTGGTTATACTCGCGCACGTTACAGTGCTGTCATCAGGCTTGAGGTTGTTATACGGAGGTCGCTAACCAAGCAATAAACCGCCATATCCTCGAACACTCGCTGCTCGCCCGCGACCGCCTAGTGATGATTTCGAATCCACAAAGGTGCGCCATAAGCGTATTTTAGGGAGTGCAGAACAACAGAACCGATCAGCATGGGTGGGTTATCTTCATTTCCTGTGGAAAGCAGCGTAGTCTTGGCGTTGAATGCGGTTTTTACTACACAGTTCTGACGTCTTATTGGGTTTCCATTAAAATTTCGTTCCCAGTGAGCAAATCCTTCAAAATATTATCTGTTTCTCTTTAACTCTTGTTCCATCATCTTACTTTGTTACGGTGATGCGTCGAACTGAGCACTGCCTTTCGTTCGATCCTTGAGCCCAACTGGTATGGATCGTTTGTTGTGAAGAGTCATTCTATCGTGAATTGTAGCTTGCCAGTAACTCAGTGCTGTGATGGTCTGGTGAATAGGCTCCGAATGGCTTACGATGAACACATTTTCATACAGTGGTGACATTATTTCCGATAATATACAGTGGCTGTACTGTGGATATTATCTCCCCTGTTGGAAAATGGCCTGCTATACGTAAGGGTCGAGTATCTGTGTATGCAGACACGAGAAAGTCCAATTTATGACGTTGAAAACGACTTCTGAAATATAGAATGCACTTTTTATCCGGTCCACATCGTCCTTCTGTTTCTACGTCAGCTTTAGTCCTCCTAGACGAACTAATCAACTCCACTTGCTCCGCGAATGCTGCAGCTACTGGTTTGGCCTACCTCCACTCCCAATACACTTCCTCCTTCCCGCACGCACTGGGCATGCACACCGCAAACTCGGCTATCGTCCCCGAGAGTCTTAGCAATCAGTTAAGCCAAGCTGATAGAGGAACGGTGACACCAGCCGAAGAAAATGGCGGAGTTGTGGAGGATGGGTCAGGTCGACGACGCTTAGTTTGTCTTGATGATGATTCCGCACCGCCTACAGATGCGTCTACCGGATCTTCGTCATCTTCATCCAATCCAGTGATGGTTCACCTGACTGTTGGGGAATGTTCCGCTTTGAACTCCGGGTTGGATGATCAAACCCCTTTGGCCTCTTTGTTAATGAACGAAAGACGGGACGAACGTACCGGATTAACTGTTTCCTTGGTTGACAGAACCAGACTGGTCCACTCCAACGGCGACGAACGTGAGTTTCCCCAACACTGTACCATTCATCAGTCTCTTATGTAAGTGTTACACCCGCTCCTGATCACGATTGGGCTAAAAGAGTGAACGGCACTCCGCTGCCACTGCCGCAAATAATGAGTACCAAATAGCAGAATATGGATTAGGATAAGCAGAACTAACCGCATTGTGGTTCAGTATGTACGTGACCTTTCAACATCATTGAAATGCCACATTGGCAGCGAACATGTTTCAGTTCATGCTAGCCTCGGATGTGCCTGTGATCACTTCGGTCGCTGCGCTACCGTCATTTGTCATAATTACCTGCGTAGGCCAAACACTCAGTAGCAGTTCATTTTCGATCGTCGACAATCAAACCGGAGCAGTTGGTGTACTCTCTCTCTCTCTCTCTCCAGAGGTGTATCTGTGCACCTCAGAGGGTGCCCATCAACTTCACCCCCGTGCCAATGGAATGTTTTTGCAACCGGTTGCGGTTTGTTAAAAAATTTTAAAGAAGCCATCCAGTTTCAGGCATGCCGTGATGCTAGTTTCGGTGGGAGAAAATCAGAGGAATGATCCGTATCGCCGCTGTTTTTTTCTGTTCCCATAGGTTAATTTTGATTCATGCTTCTGTGGTCGTTGTTTGGCGTGATTGATTTGTGAGCTCGTAATGTAGTTCAGTAATAAAACTTGCTTCTTGTCAATCTCCTTGCCGATTTATTGAGGAAGGAGTTGCATATATATATATATATGTATATATATACGTATAAATATATATATTTATATATGCGCCATTTTTTTATTTCAAATTAATCATTTGTGCATGCCGACTGCGGAACAGCCAATGGATGTGGTAAGCGACTTGGTTCAATTTCCCACTCTTATGTTTCTACATCTTCAGGCTCAGTTGGCGAGTTGCCCCGATTCGGCGTGAACGCGCAAACCGACACGAACACAGTGGCTCAAACACATCAGTCGACTGTCTCGGTTTCAGTGGATACAAGTGATATCAAACCAAACGACGTGAGCACTCTTGTTCAACGTGTTTCGCACTCACTCAGTGTGCATGTGTCTCGCTCACCACATGTCTAATTGTTTGATCAAACATGTGATAGACGTTTCAGTTTGTTTCTTTTTACAACCAATAACCATGCACACTTTCGTGCGCCGGTTTTGGTTGCTGTCTTTTGGCCACCCATTTGGATAGAAGAAAATGATGAAGATTGGAATGTTGAAAACCAATTCAGGCGGAAGATAGAGAATTCATATAGACTGGTGTTAAGAGAATAATGAGTAGGTGCATGAGTGCCACTGTTTGCGACACCCAGCCATATCACTCAGTGTCTCTAACCCTCGGTGTCCATAATCTCACGTTCCCCAGCCAGGGAGCGTAGCAGCACTTATGTGACCCAGATTCCTGGCTAAGGTTTTCATACCCTCATGCCAGGTCTTCGTTTGACCGCCCTTGACCTTTTCCCAGCTGCTCCCTGCCTCGGCAAACATCGCTCACTGTGGCAACCTATCTGGTAACGTGCGTAACACATATCCCAACCAACGTGATGATACATATTTCCTCATAGGAAATACCAGAACTGCTACACAAGATGACTCGCACATCACTGTAGTGGTTTCCTCTGTAATAAGGAGAAGAGACTTGTTCCTTTTGCGATTTGTCCAGTCGCATTTGTTGACCTGTGTTGATCTACATTAGACAGTGTTGTTGTTGTTTCGAACGATGCCATCCTGCGACACGGTTTTTAATTGACAGCATTCTTACCCACGCAAGCACGCACACGCGCAGACAGAGAAACGCTTCAATCTATTTGTTTGTTCGTGAACGCGCAAAGACCATTGTTTCATTACAGCAATAATATTTGTATTTACATGACTTTATAAGCTTTAAAACTAGCGTGTGAGCCAAACAACTACCTTCACATAGTTGAAACAAAGGAAATGGCTACGCAGCGGATGTTGGGAATAACTTGTGTTCACAGTCTGAAGCCGATACAATTTACCGACTTCCTTGTTGACAAGTAAACGTGTTAGATACGTAACAGCCAAATTCCTGTATGTTCCGATACGTGAAGTAATCGGAAGTTCGAACAAGTCATGATGTAAGAACGAAATTTGGAACGATCAACATGCAGTGTTTGGGAAGGATCATCAAGGATTTTAAAGTAAAGTTTGCTCATGAAGCCACGCGTGAACCACATAACTCTTCCCGTAGTCGATTCAGGGGAATGCTCCAGGTGTGACAGAAGCATCACGAAGTAAAGCGATGCAGTCCTATTTGCGCCGATCAGAGAGAAAATAGCTGGGGACCAATGAGAGATTAATGGAATAACACAATCGCACAAAATTGGATATAATAGACTATAAAACGCAGAGTTTACGAATCTCAAATCAGCATGTTTCCAGGTCATTGTGCAGTGTAGTTTACCTTTTCCCGGCATCAGTATGTTTACAGTCCCCAAGGTATCTACAACGACGACGTGGTGCTTAAAATAAATCAAGTCGCTATTGACATGTACGACTTATCAATAATGATATTGATGCATATAAAATGGATCATTCCAAAATACAGTACATTTATCGATGAAGCCTCTATTTAGTTTATGGATTTGAGTTTGCTTCACATGTCCTTATTGTACCTTCCCTCACGATCGACAGACAGCACATATTGATAGATTGAAGCAGCATCTGTACGCCTTCGTAGTTCCGCCAGGTCAAGCGCCACCTTACTCCCAACCTACATCCTCGTCTGCCCCATTGGATTCCTCTTTGGTCCCCACTTCTTCCTCCGCTTTCACTTGTTCCTCATCCTTGTCGTCTTCGTCATCTGGCTTGGGTGTGCACGTATCCAGTATAGAACGGGCTCCTTCACATACCACTTTGTCGGACTCCACCAGTGCATCCTGCATCCCCGATACCGGAAGTGTTGTTGTTTCATCTACAGCGACAAATAGCACAAGTTCCACGGGTGAAGTCAAGCAAAGATTCGCGGGTAAACCGCTTACACGTGGTCTATCCAGTCTTGGGGCCGGACGCCACAAAAAGTTCCCCGCTCTGTCCCAGTTGAAAATGCCCGCGCCAAATGCTTCCTCATCTCTCCCGGCCAACTTGGTTGCTGCTGGTGGCGGTGCTCCCAGTTCACTCACCGGTCGCTTACCTCAAGGCACTTTTCTGCCCACACCCGAGGTTGAATCGGTGTTAAGTAAGTGTCGTGTCCCCCCAATGTATCAATAAACCTGTGCCATATTTGTGTTATCAGATTCTCGTGGCCATCCTGTTCAACCGTCAGTCTACCAATGGTTAAATACAGTCAAACCACGCTACTGACACTTATGTATAAAACCGCTAACGATAATGGAATTCGAACAAAAAGCAATGCAAACCTGAAGTTATTGCTTAGTGGTTGATTTGTTGTATCACCGTCTTTGTATTCGGGGACTAAAAGCAGAATTCAGCCGTGCGATTATCGATCGAACGTATACGTGTTCATATATGTATAAGACTTGGCTTTTTTTACTGTGTTTCTCTTGCGGATGAATTATCTGGCCCCACGAGTGTATTATCCACGAAGAGTTCCACCAATTAGGTACAAAACTACGTCCATTCGAGGCAGCATACTTCCCGACTGCCCATACGGGGTAAGGCTCTTTCGTAGTGAATTCCATCCGGAGCCTTTCGTTATTCAAACCTGCCTCACAAAACAGATTAACAAGGACCGCATGATCGCCGGTGACCAAAGTGGTTCATACGCCATCCGGGTGCTCGTGTCGTGCGACAGCAAGGTTCTACGCCGTTGATCGCGATGGATTAGATTTCTGAAGCTCTTGGACGTCAGTTGATGGCGAGGCATCTGTACATTTCTCTGTTTGTCTTTTACCCTCACCCCGTGTAAGCGGATCAATACCGCCTTAACATCGGCCTTTGTCACGGCATCGTCATTGGGCTGATGTGGCTTTTGCGGAGCGACAGGTGACCAGTCTTTCTGTCCATCTGCAAACCCGACTAGTGACGATATCAGTGAGGTGTAACTTTATACATACTAATAATATCAAACTTTCATTTGGTTCACGTTGTTTACCTGACACATGAATACTATGCATTTTATTGCTATCTATCAGTGTCTATTAGTTCACAAACTGGACACAACAAATCGCTATGTCTCACTTTACAAAAATGATAATTGTGATGGTCATGGCGATTGCTAATGGATTTAACAGTCACTCTCTTCAATGTGTTCAACCACTGATCATCAACACAGAGAAGTTCGTAACGAAAGACTAACTTTCTGCATCCAAGTGAAGCGCTTGTTCCGTTCTGTTCCGCCATGTGATTCCCTGCTACATTGATGAGGCTCTCAGTTTCGTCACGTGCTCTTACGGGTACATTACATGACTAGGTCTAGCAACACAACTTTCAAATTGATAGCTCTCGCTCGAAAAAGTCCGTGTGATAGACGGATCCGCAAGGGGAAATTCAGATCGTGATAGAAAATGGCATCTTCATCATCTCTCGGTCTTTTATTACGAGGATGCACCCTCAAAGTCTTGCCCGATAGAGCAGCAGGCTACTGACGACGGTGGTCTTATTTAGTAACGGATCAGAGTTACCAACCTTTTGATGCTATTCACAGATGTCTTAGTTGGTTAGTTGCAAAGAGATTGTTTTTTGCCACCAAAAACCCGCTACCGCTATGGTGCACATCCATTGACGATAGCCTATTGCGATAGTCTATTGTTTGCCGATTTCTGTCCACAGATAACTTCAATGTTCCGGGCTGGGCTTCATCTGTTGTTTGACCTCATTATCCTTATCTGGTGCAGCTTTGTGACTGCTGCTAATTAAAATTTAGGTTCTGGTGATCGGGAAACTTCCCTATTCTACCATTTCTATTGTTGGTTGTGTATTAAAAACGTTTCCTGTTTAGTTCATGGTTAATAGTTTTCTGATCCACATGTTTTACAATTGAAAAGTGTCGTCCCATTGTTCCATTGACTTCCGCAGATTACCTTGTTGTCATTCATCACTTGTTTCCGTTCCGTCTGAATGGAACCGTATATTGCGTATATTGCGCCTTGTCCACCATTCATCATTTTGCAATCTTCACAGAGAACTTAGAAACTTCCCGCGCGCCGGTCGCGCCAACTACGCTGGACGTGGTTCGTTCCTTGGATTCCCATGGTGCCTCCGCCTATCCGCTGGATTTACGCCTCACTCCGCCTGTGCCTACCGCTCAGACATCGCAGTCTGCAACCGACCCATTCGCTGCCGCAATGCGAATGGTCACTGCCGGTGGGCATCTGGCCTCAGTCCCGTTACCCAAAACCCCTACGACCCCCAATCCGCCCTTACCACACCATTTGTCTGGTCTCGGTGGTGAGTTTCTGCTCGCCGGTTTTATTTTGCAGTTTAATTTGTCCCTGTGCTTCTTCTCTTCGAAACCCAGCGCTGTATACATTCACTTGGGGGTGATTGTAATTGGCTAGCAGCTCCTATCCGCTATGGTCAGCGATATTGGGTGACCTTGTTTTGGGCTAATAGATTTCAACATTTTCCCCAATATTGGCCCGGCTTGTTCACGATTCGGTGGGATTCCTTGATCCGCCAGTGTGAATCGCCAAGCATGACCCATTGTTTGTGGTCAGTTTCCATCGAAATTATGATATGAAGGACGTTTATCACCATTCGCTTTCTTGGACATATATTTTATATGGTAGTAAACAGCTTTGCTCTCCTCCGGTCCAATACTATGTTTCACCTAGTTGCGGTCTTATGTGGTTAGCCACTTTAAGTCCCGGGGATTACGTTGCAGTTTTTCATCATTGAATAGCAAGTCTTCGTGACTACGGGGTCCACTCCGTCTTCTGTTCATCACACAAAATGCGTGCAATAAGAAAAGTAAGCAACACTAATTTCATTGGCACCACAATGAGGCATTTTGACATAAATCAATGTTACCTTATCATTACGACGATTTGGTGTTCAGTTTTGTGGATTGGTTCCATCCAACCTCAACTGATTCGACACTAGGGCCGATTTTTGGTGGTATAGAGCAAAATTTCCCTAAAGCGCACAACAGGTTTCGCAACCCTTCAGGTATGTTATTTTTATTACACGGAAGTGAATACGGTAAAAGGATAAACCCCATGATCCAACGATATCCATGGGAAGGTAAGGGAAAAAAATCAAGCTAGAACCAGCATTGTTGATTCTACGTCTAAAGGCAAGGATGTCGTTTGTACGTCGGAGGAAAAACCGAAAAGACAAGAGCGTTCCACAGTTGTGCTGTTCTTGGGAAAAAAGATGATTGAAATTTAGAAATGGGGGTAGTCACTTGAAATGGGTGGCTCGCCACTTTTGCCCGGGATCTTCGAGGAAGAACAAGCGGGAGGGACTGAAGCGGAAAGTTCACTAGAGCAAAATCCAATGTAGTACCGACAGGATAAGGATAAAGAAGTGACTGCAAATTACGTTAGGGACGGGTCGTTGATGAAACGAATGGCCTTACGTTGAACCCGATCAAGAAGAGAAAGAGAGGGATCCAGCTCCACCCCACATTTGAATGCAGTATTCACGTGAAGGCGGAATGTGAGCTTCCTAAAATGAGGGAAGGTGAATGGGAATGAGTAAAGGTCTGTCGCGGAAGAGGAGGCCGATTTTGCGCGCAGCGTGGGAGACAAGTAGATAAATATATGGTGACCATAAAAGAGAAAAAGATGAGGAAAGTCCTAATAGGTTTCATGAATCCGTGGGACGGGGAAGGTTCTAGTAAAAATTTAATGAAGGGGAGAAAGATGTGTGTTTAAGAGGTAGACTTAAGGGAAGTTCTACTGGTATTGCAGAGAACATGGTTACGAACTTGGGCCCAAATCAGAATTTAGGGAGAAACTAAGGGAGGAGCGGTTGTCACCATTGTTGAAGTTGGCGATGCGCGAAGAGAAATAAGACAAAGAAGAGTGTAGAGTAGCGTCGTGAATAAGATTTGAAGTTAAGGAAAGAAGGCCATCAATGAACGTCAGAAAAATGGAAGGGGAAAGTACAGAACCTTGGGGAACCCCAGCATTCACAGGCATGGAACGAGACAAGGTCCTATCCACCCGAACGGAGACGCTGTAGTCCTTGAGGTAGATTGCTGTCCAGGTCGCAAGTTTCGAAGGAAAGCCAAACTTGGGTAGTTGAGCTACAAGACCCGCGTGCGAGATACGATCGTAAGCTTTCGGTATATCCAATGACACCATACGTGTTTCTCCGTGGCTGTGAGGTGCCACTAACCATGCAGACAAAACGAGCGCCAGGATATCACCGGTAGATCGATGGGATTGAAAACCGTACTGACGTGATGTGTGTCTGTTACTCATTTGTTATTCGATTCCTAAGTTCACACTCTCCATGTATATTAGGGCACATAGATCTCATTTGCATATATATATATATATATGTATAGTCTTTACTCCATTTCATCTTTGATCTGCTTTAATTTTAACTGGAATGGCGAACTACTCAAAATCCCTACAGGAATAGTTCCGAATCGTTGCGGCGTTAACAAAGTTGACAACAGTAATGCTCATTAAAAACTTGGTCGTCTCGTATTTTGTTTTGCGTGCATCTTTCCTTTTTTCTATGACACTGTATTCGGCTCAAAATAGGAACCAAAAAATCCCGCCTCATCCTGTCTGAGTAGCTTTTTATACACGCTTTGCTCCACCTCTGTTGGTAACAGTTCCCTTAGTTGTGCACATTGCTGGCGCCTTTCCTGTTTCAGATTGATGATTGGATGGATGTGTGCTCATAGTAAACAGACCTAATGATTTTCACGTGCCCTATTAGGGTAGCAGAATCACCATAGCTTGGCAAAAGTCAATCGAACCATTCGTGAGCGAACAACCATTTTGGGGGACTTATCGATTATCAGCATTTTTCATCGCGGCATAAACACAACTGATTTCAACCCTTGCACACACATCCTCACACTGTCTCGACTAAGGGGAGTTCACAAGCATAATAATAATAATAATAATATGCATCATATGGATTTGAAAGTATCAATTGGAAATCCGTGGATACAGAGCTGAACCTCGTAGAAGTGGCACAGCGGGTATGAATGTTATTCGATCGGTTTTGAGTGTCCGCCCTCTTTTTTCCACACTATCCGGCTCCGTGAAAGTGAGACCTCGCGTTGTCGTAGCTCATACAATCGCGGTTTTTGTTGAATCGGTCCTAACCTCACCAGCGCTTTTGCGTAACGGATATTAACTAAATCATGCGCGCGTGTGAACATGGAATCATGAAACAGTTCGAGGGGAAAACTCCGCAATACTAATGGGTAGTTATACCTATGTGAAGTTTCTAAAGACACGGACACTCGAACATTACCACCGTTGTGGCGTTTGTGGTACTTTGTGCTTCCTCCCGGGTGTCTGATCTAGAGTATGCAGACGGCGTTGTGCTGCTAAGTGAAGATCCAGGTAAATTGCAAGCTTTTCTGGAAAGCTTAAATGCCAGCATAGCCATGTTCGGTATGTGTTTTGCGCCTTCAAGGTGTAAAATGTTACTCCAAGATTGGGTTTGTCCAGCAGCCAACCTCACTCTGCTGGGAAAGTAATAGAACTAGTGGATAAGTTTTGCTGTTTGGGTAGCTACATCTCACTCGGTGGACGCATCACGGATGCAGTGTCATCTCGCATACAGAAGGCTCGGTTGTCATTTGCTAAATTGAAACATCTGTGGCGCCGTCGCGACATCCGATTGTCTGTGAAGGGTAGAGTGTATGCTGCGGCAGTTCGACCAGTTCTGTTATATAGCGCAGAAACTTGGCCATTAAGAACACAGGACAAAGATAGACTGTCGGTGTTTGAACACCGCTGTCTACGTAGCATTGCACGAATCTGGTGGGGCACCCGGACGAGCAATGCTAAGGTTAAGAGAAAAGTTTTAGGTATTCGCGGTCGCCCATTGGAGCAAATGGTCGACCTCCATAGATTACTTTGGTTGGACATGTGTTACGCATGTCACCAGATAGGTTNCCACGACGAGCGATGTTCTCTGAGGTAGGTAGTGAGTGGAATAAAACCAAGGGCGATCAAGCTAAGACCTGACATAAGGGTATGGAAACCCTGACCAGCAGTCCTGGGTGACATAGGTCCCGTTAGACTCCCTGGCTGGGGACCTTGGGATGATCGTGCCGAAGTGTTCTTCATCCATGAATAGACGTACATATCCTTCAGTTGAAAACGGAGAACTGGTGTAATAGGTGTTATGAAATAAACGTTTTTCTATCACTAAATCTCGCACTTCCGTACACATCTAATTTGCTATCTACCTATTTGATTTACCAATGAACGCCGGCATGGCGTACAGTGTTATGATAAAGGTACAGAATACGAACTCACTAGATTATTTAGCCATATCAAACCAGTGTCTAACCATGGACTAGCTTGGTTGCAAAGCCCCCAAAACGTAGCGTAACCTAATCTACACAACTAAACCCTCTTATCAATTTTTTCTTACTATTTTACGTGTTTCAGACGGATCATCCGTAGCCTTCATCGAATCACTTTCTTTCTCGGCAAGTAGCGCACTCTCAGAAACCCTATCCGATAACATGCTTACTCAAACTCGTGTGTACATATTGAAGACAAGGTCTTCCCGACATTAGTACATGTTAACAGGTTTGATTCAGTAAAATCTTGCAATTNAGCATGGGATCACTTGAATATATGAATACGCGATGTGCATATTTTTTCTTATAGGATCTGTAACACCCCGTCTTAGGTGCAGTGTAGAATGTAGCAGTACGAATAGCAAGATTGTGCGAAAGGATTTATCTATGCGGTTGAGCTTTATATGCGAGCGGTTATCAGAGCAGCTTCTGTATTTGGTGCCGGTGATC